CCCAGGCTGTATATTAAGTGCAGTAATTGCTATTGAAAATAGTACCCAATAGAATTTGTTCAAAGTTTTACTACTAATAATAATAGTAACATTAATGAGATACGGAAGCGTCGTGAACAATGGTCAAGATTGCCAAACTTATAATGTGTCAATAATGTAGACAAAGTGTGTGTGTGTGTGTGTGTGTGTGTGTGTGTGTGTGTGTGTGTGTGTGTGTGTTATAGTAATGCCACGGTAACAGTATGGAGGTAAGAGTTCTGCCAGTACTGTGGTAATTAACGCAAGGTGACGAAAACCACTCACTCCTTCAGCCGCAGGTTACCTCAGGGCTATGATCCCCCAGTGTGTGTGGTCACTCCCAGGGTTGTGATGCTATTGTTTATGTTGTGTGTGTGTGTGTAGAGGGGATATGGTTGGTTGAGTGGGTGTACACTGTACAGTATGTGGTGTGTGATCATGAGAAGCCTTTGTCGCCTTGGGGGTTTGTATGTACGTATGTCGCTGTTGTAGACTGTCCTTGTAAATGTTTTGTACACGTCTTTAGTGAGTACAAAGATTACGACGTTGAGCAAAAAAAAAAAAACACACAGCCGGGAAGAATAAGGGTGAGCTGGAAGATGTTCACAGCTGCCGATATGAAATAAACACCACAGAGTCAACGAATGGAGTTATAGACAAGTGTCAAACAAGAGAGAAAGACAATGCACCCGGTGTTACTTTAAGAGTACATGGAGATTGGAGAAAGATGTTACGGAGATGTTTACATACACAGTAACAGGTATAAAGAATGATGGCAGTGAGTGTAAGGTAATAAGACCACAAAGTGTAAGAGGTAGCGAGCCACCGCCACTCCAGGCTAGAGATAAGGATCAACAAAGCCGCAAGTGATCCCGCAGGAGGTAAAGTGAGAATTTATGTAAGGTAGTGTGGGTCACTCCTTCACTTTATAATGTGTTGGGAAAGAATACATGTAACGCGTATTGACCAACATAACTCTTATGAAAGTTTTAATTGGGAGACAAGGTGTAATGTTTTGAGTGTGGAAGGTACGATAGATAGAGTGAAGGCTGAGAGCATGTGTTAGATGTAGCTGTGGGTTGAGTGACTTGTTTATCATTAAAACTGGAGTAGGACAGCGTGCGTTCACTGCATCGTCATTTAATTCTTACTGTGATGCACTTCCTGTTGATCATAGATTAGTTGATGTGTATCACTAGTGGATGACGCAGAGTGGATGCAGTGAAGAAATAAGGGAGACTAGGGTACAAATAACGGCATGAAATCCATTACATCATCTCTTGGATATTAGTTCGCCAAGTTGTAAGGCGGCATAGTGACGGGAGACAATCAGCACATATGCTTTGCCGTAATAACCACAGTCTGACCACAACAAGAATTCAACATTGTGTTTAAAGAATATAGTGTTGATAGTATTTCTGTATTTCAACAACTAAGGCCTTTAAACACATCCTCTATATACTAGATAAATAACTAGTGTTACAAATAAGGAGAAATATTAAATAATCCTGAATATTGATGGTGTAATGTATTGCTACGCTTCAACAACAAGTGTCTGTAAGCTCGTTATCAACAATTTAGACAGATAATCTTTTCTTGGCTAACATTCTGAAAAATAGTGTTAAGTCGACTGAACATTGAGTAGTTACAATAGACGATTCGGCGCAATGTTGGTGGTTGCTCGGCTACCAGACACCGCTGTACTGTATGTACTGTCTGCTTGCATTTGAGCGTCTCAGCATTAAAACTGAATGTGTTTTTTCTTTGCAGTGCCACAAGTCTAAGCCAAATATTCCGTGAGTAAGATCATCACTTGGGAAATATTTGTGTTTGTCTGAATAAGCGGAGGAGGCGTGTGGATGAAGGCGTCGGCTTGTGAATGGAGGAAGAGGCGGAGGCGTGTTGGTGTAGGAGGAGGAAGAGGCGGCGTGTGAGTGGAAGAGGAGACGCGGGAGAAAGCTCCTCTGGGCCACGCCCTTGTGGAGGTCGCGGGAGGAGTAGGCAGGTGAGACGCAGGTGTGGTACAGGAGGTATATAAGCACTAGCGCTGCCCTCCATCCATACACAAATCATCATCATGTCGCTCAAGGTAGGAGGTCCTCAGCTCCACCAGCCAGTGTAGTATTAGTGGGTCCTAGTGTACTAAATCCTGCTCAAGAAGTCGTAGTAATCCTACTGTACTAAATCCCTATATCCATTAGAAATCCTAATGTAGGAGTAATAAGTCCAAGTGCAGCACTACCTCGTCCTAGTGTATTTAATCCTAGTATAGGAATACAAGTTCTAGCGTACTAAATCCCAGTGTAGCAGTACAAGTCCTAGTGTACTAAATCCCAGTGTAGCAGTACAAGTCCTAGTGTACTAAATCCCAGTGTAGCAGTACAAGTCCTAGTGTACTAAATCCCAGTGTAGCAGTACAACTCCTAGTGTACTAAATCCCAGTGTAGCAGTACAAGTCCTAGTGTACTAAATCCCAGTGTAGCAGTACAACTCCTAGTGTACTAAATCCCAGTGTAGCAGTACAACTCCTAGTGTACTAAATCCCAGTGTAGCAGTACAACTCTAGTGTACTAAATCCCAGTGTAGCAGTACAACTCTAGTGTACTAAATCCCAGTGTAGCAGTACAACTCTAGTGTACTAAATCCCAGTGTAGCAGTACAACTCTAGTGTACTAAATCAGTGTAGCAGTACAAAGTGTACTAAATCCCAGTGTAGCTAGTGTACTAAATCCCAGTAGCAGTAGTCAGTGTACTCAATCCCAGTAGTGTACTCCCAAGTGTACTAAATCCCAGTAGCAGTACAACTCTAGTGTACTAAATCCCAGTGTAGCAGTACAAGTCCTAGTGTACTAAATCCCAGTGTAGCAGTACAAGTCCTAGTGTACTAAATCCCAGTGTAGCAGTACAAGTCCTAGTGTACTAAATCCCAGTGTAGCAGTACAACTCCTAGTGTACTAAATCCCAGTGTAGCAGTACAAGTCCTAGTGTACTAAATCCCAGTGTAGCAGTACAACTCCTAGTGTACTAAATCCCAGTGTAGCAGTACAACTCCTAGTGTACTAAATCCCAGTGTAGCAGTACAAGTCCTAGTGTACTAAATCCCAGTGTAGCAGTACAACTCCTAGTGTACTAAATCCCAGTGTAGCAGTACAACTCCTAGTGTACTAAATCCCAGTGTAGCAGTACAAGTCCTAGTGTACTAAATCCCAGTGTAGCAGTACAAGTCCTAGTGTACTAAATCCCAGTGTAGCAGTACAACTCCTAAATCCCAGTGTAGCAGTACAACTCCTATACCCAGTGTAGCAGTACAACTCCTAGTGTACTAAATCCCAGTGTAGCAGTACAACTCCTAGTGTACTAAATCCCAGTGTAGCAGTACAACTCCTAGTGTACTAAATCCCAGTGTAGCAGTACAACTCCTAGTGTACTAAATCCCAGTGTAGCAGTACAACTCCTAGTGTACTAAATCCCAGTGTAGCAGTACAACTCCTAGTGTACTAAATCCCAGTGTAGCAGTAATCAGTGTGTGTGTGTGTGTGTTTGTGTCAGCAACATTTCAGTTTAACGTAACAAATCCCAGTTTGGGTCAAGCTTTACTGCATTAAGTCCTAGTGATCCAAGCCTTAGTGTATCAGCGGGTTATTTTTTAAATGCTATATGTGTATCAGATTTATACAGTATTATCACAAGGAGCGCCAAAATATTTTTACTGGTCGTTAATGAATTTCCTGGTCATCTATCAGTGCTATGGGAGAATTATTTTAAACCCTCTTGTTAAAGTAGGGTACCACAGGTGTTATGTCTGACGAATATTGTCTGAGGTATCTTCAAATCACCGTGATATTACATTGTGAAGGAGGGAATACCACCTGCTTTTGATTTTCTGTGTTGGCGGTAATTTTTATGGTCGGGGATTTGGGTAGAAGGCAGGAGTGTAATTTGGCGGTTAGTGTTAGTGGGCATTGTCTCAACACCTGACGCTAGCTTGAGGTGCTTGTAGTCTTATACGATGCATTTGGCTGTTTTTGAGGTATAGGTCTACTACTACTATTACTAGTTGACTACTGGCACTACTGCGAAAGGCGATCCCTGTAATTGTGTTTAGACATAGAGAAGAAAAAAGCGGGCGTCTTTCTTAACATCAAAATGCAACACAACTTCCACAGCTCACTTGCGTTCGGAAAAGTTATCCAAGTGGCAAATCAATTTCGCTTTCCAAAAAATGCATTAAGTTAGCCAACCCGGCGCTATCGTGGAACTTGTTGTATCAATATCTTATAACAGAGTTACAACAACAAGCAGCAACAAAACCATGTTAAAAGATAGCACCAAGAACCATGCTGTACAGTAAAACCGCATCATTAAACACTGCAGAAAGTAAAGGTAGTTTTGCAATATACAGGACATGTAATATAATCAAAAGGTAAACACGAGTACCTCCTTCGCCAATATACATAATATAACTTATAAGAAGCAGACCCGAAGCCTAGCAAGGCCAAGTGGTTTCATAATGTAAATGAAAGTGATGTACTCCGCCATAAGAGTAAGTATCTAAAAAATCTAATTAATCAATATAAAAAAAAAATGGAATGAACATCAATATGTATGTAACAGTAGACAGTCTTGCCTGGGTCTATATTGATTAGGTTTTTTCTTTGCGACCTCTGGGTTTGTGAGGTTGATTACGTCTTTTATTGTAAGACTAAAGGAATGACTGGAAAAGTAGTGATGGCTAGATAGATTAACGTATAGATATATATGACGTGTGGCCATATGTCTCTAGTGTGTGTTTGTCTGTCCCCTCGCAGGTGTGTGTTCTCGCTGCTGCTCTTGTTACCGTGGCCTGGGGATCTGTGGCCCCTGTCTACCCTCGCTACCCTGCCTACCACCCACAACCTTCCTACCACCACCCTGAACCTTCCTACAACCACCCACCACCCGCCCCCTACCACCACCCTGAACCTTCCTACAACCACCCACCACCCGCCCCCTACCACCACCCTGAACCCAACTATGATGTAAGTATAGTTTTGTATATTTTTACCTAAAATACAACTACACAACCACCTAAAACATAAAGGAATATAATATTTTCAGCTGATAGTATGATTTGTTATTATGCTGCATTAGATAGGGTCTTTAAAGATTTACTCGGATCATATAATTATTTGACAACGACAATAAAAAAAAAACATCGGCCTGGTTTACTACTGCACCATTCTGAGAAACATCTTGTCTGGTAAACTTAAAAATTGCCTGTCTTCATTTATGGTGTTTATTAGACTATTATAACTTGTTTTGCTTCGTTTTGAGAATCGTTGACGTCATGTCCTCGTAATTCCTTCTCCTTCCTTCCATTACTTGCTTAAGAACTATTTACTGAATACAAGAATATCTATAAGTATAAACATCGACTGGTTATGGGCTGCCGATTGTGGTGGATGGCCTCTTATTGTGGTGGATGGCTGTTATTGTGGTGAATGGCTGCTTATTGTGGTGGATGGCTGCCTCTTGTGGTGGATGGCTGCCTCTTGTGGTGGATGGCTGCCTTTCTGTCGTGGCGGGAGTGACCACTGACCAGAAGTTTCTCAAAGGAGGGGACGCATCATAATGATTACACCCATACATTATGTCACCCATGCGGGCACATTACAGCCACCGTGTGTGTGTGTGTGTGTGTGAATGTACTCACCAGCCTCACGTATCTTTTTTTCTAGTTAAGAGACGCGTCAGATGTGAGGTGTCTCGGTAACTGTAGGTGCGGGTAGTAGTACAGTATGTTCTCCCCGCGTCTTACTTGGTCTAACGCGCCTGAATAAAAGTGGGATTTGTTACATTGACGGAAATGATTGATATAATGACGAAAATCCCTTGTGATGAAGATAATGATGACTTTCGGCATGGTGATTCACTGACTCCCAAATGCGCTCATAGATAGCAGAGGATGAAACATGGGTAATTACTTCCCAGGTGGAGAGAAAATGAGGCAGTACGGTGAAAGCTCGACTTTTACCAATTTCACGCCTCTCACCTTACCTATTGCACTACCTCCCTGTAGCTAAGGAGCTGCGTTACCAACCACACACAGTTCTTGTGTCACCGTACTCTGGCTTACCATATGTTGTCAGGTAACTGAGCAGCGGAAGGAATGGGATGGGGGGCACCTCTGGGAGTATTAATCTCCATCCAGTGAGTTAAGTGTCGTCCCACGTCACTTGCGGTGACAGCTGGTGCGTGGAAGGTATTTGCTGTTCTTCAGCCTCCTGCTTGGAGACGATAGTCTTACTACACAATTGTATGATTCACTAGCCTGGGGTCACACTGGTGATGAATCTGCAGCTTAGTGCCACATTAGACTATTTATCTTTTTTTCATATGATATGTAAGAAGGTGCTAACCAGCATGTACTTCTACCCTGGCAGGTACCCCCTAAGTACGAGTATACCTACGACGTCAATGACGACTACCAGAAGTTGAAGTTCGACAAGTCAGAGTCTCGCGACGGCTACAAGACGGCTGGGTCATACTCCGTCGATCTACCCGACGGCCGCAAGCAGATTGTCACTTACACCGACAACGGTGACGGCCTGCTGGCGGAAGTGGCTTACGAGGGCGAGATTGTTATTGACCCCTACCCCAAGCACTCCGCTCCCCCTCCCGTCTACCCCAGGAAGCCCTACTTCCCAGCCTACCACCCTGCCCCCTCCTACCCCCGCTACCCCTCTTACCCCGCCCCTTCCAAACCCGCTGAAGACGAGGAGTCAGAACCAGTTGCTGACCTCATAATTGCTGAGGAAGCTGCCCCTGCTGAAGAGGCCGCCCCTGCTGAAGAGGCCGCCCCTGCTGATGAAGCCGCCCCTGTCGAAGAAGCTGCTCCTGTAGAGGTTGTTGAGGCTGCCTCTGCTGAAGAAGCTGCCCCTGCTGATGAAGCCGCCCCTGTCGAAGAAGCTGCTCCTGTAGAGGTTGTTGAGGCTGCCCCTGCTGAAGAAGCTGCCCCTGCTGAAGAAGCTGCCCCTGCCGAAGAAGCTGCCCCTACCGAAGAGGCTGCCCCTGCTGAAGAGGCTGCCCCTGCTGAAGAGGCTGTTCCTGCTGAGTACGCCCCAGTAGTTGAGGAAGCTGCTGAGGCGGACGCAGAGGCGCCAGTCACTGAGCCTGCTGAAGCGTAAAGTGCATGAGTGGCTGCATCACAGACACCTTTAAGGCGTGTTCATAAAGGACAGAACGACGTACTGCACAACTTGGTGTACTTTCTCTTGCCTTCTCCTCACATCTCTGTGACTCTCTTAATAAGATTCTGTCCCTGGTGAACGCTGCCGGAGTACACTGTAAAGTCCTGCTGCGAATAACACGACGCCGCCACAATACCTACGGCGACAACAATGAGGAAAGGAAATTGGAGACAGTTGTATTGCAGCCATCCCTCGAGTACCGCCTGCCTGCTATCATTGTTCATCTCAGATTCCTCATCCACTATGGAAACTACTAGATCAAAATAGCTCCTTGTTACTCTTATCACCATTCAGTACAGAGTGCCCGTCTGATATTTACATAGTAATAGATCAAACTAGTTAAAACTGTCTCATTTGCCATATCGTGTTGGGGTGAAGCAAGTTAGGATCAGCCCGGTCAACACCTCATCACGAACCCGTTTAAATCATTTTATTAATCATTTGATGCCTTAAACTACAATAACCAAGAACTTGTTTGCATAAAGGATTCTGAGAACCCTTGGTGCCAATGTTGCCAACACTATTATGGGGGTTTATTTGCTCAACTTACTGTATGACTCACTGTTGTGGTATCACTGGAAGATGTTTCAGGTGCACAGTGAGCCTCGCTCCCTCTCACCCACTACTGTGCCTGTCTTGCTCCTCTGTCCTGTCACTCACTGTAGTATTTATTTCAACTTACATGATGCTATTTTTTTATATAATAAAATGAACTAATTGATAAACTTCTATTTACTGTATCCTCCGCGACACCTGTTTGACTGTCGGATCATCTGAATATTGGACACCCCAGCTTATTGTATCTAGAGAATAACCCGTTAACCATCCTAGCGCTAACCTAACCTAATCCCCCAGGTAGTGTTAGGGTGGTTTATGTTAAATGTGATCCGAACTACAGTATCTTGGGTAAATAATGTTGGGATTTCAAAAAATATAAGTTTTCATTTCAGCCATACTTCAGCCTGCTCCAGCCACCGACCCCGACGCTCCCACACGTTACTTCACGGCCGTAGAGAAGTGCTGGATGTAACCGTCAACAAGGAATTTTATTTATAGTGAAGCCCTCTGTAAAGGTTAGTGTGGTCATAGAACCATCAGTGTGGCCCTGGGACCATCAGTGTGGCCCTGGGATCATCAATGTGGCCCTGGCATCATTAATGTGGCCCTGGGACCATCATTGTGGCCCTGAGAACCTCTCTGTTTTTATCAGTCAGCTCGGGGATGCGTTGGGCATAGATAAGGTGGAGCTGGTGAGGAGTGGACGGCGGCAGATAACACTGGGCTGAACTATCTGGAGGCCGCCGCTCTCCCCCGCCTGGTTAAGATCAGCCGCTCAAGTACGTCCAGTTGACCCCCATGCTTCTAAACACGTACACACACACACACACACACACACGCACACACACACACACACACACACACACACACACACACACACACACACACACACACCTAGTACGCCCACTTCTACAAGTGATACTTTTTTTTAGTGATGGCCTCCAACCTCCCCTTACAGCTAAGCCTTCTCTACACATTTTATTACCTAATTATCCTATTGCAAAGTAACTACCCGAGCTGGGTTAGTTAAGACGCAGATCTATGCGGCATTCAGTGACTGTTGTGACACGGGAATCTCTCGAGGGAATGAAGGGGTGATGGGGATGACGGTGACGGAGAGTGGATTAATATCACCCCCCCCCCTCCCCCACAGCCTCTATCGTCATGGTATTGTTCCCGCACTCTACACGTGTCAATGACTTCCTCTGACCTGCCACCGATGGTCTTAGTGTTGGAACAAATAATGACAACCCGCGTGGCCCTCAGGAGGATACTCAACACCGGGGATGAATTTTAACCCATTTATTTATTTCAAGTGATGGTGGTAGTAGTGGTGATGGTGGTGTGGTGGTAATGATGGTCATGGTGCAAGTGATGAGGATGATGATTGTTAATGAGGGTGATAGTAGTGATGATGATGGCCATGGATGGGTCTACCTGGCGCCTGTTCATTTGAGGTCCACTTGATCATATCTCCACTATCTAAGTGTGTGTGTGTGGCGGGCAGCAGTAGTCCCCGGGCCCCTACAGTACGTCACAACCTCTCTCACAATCACCACCGTAGTGAACCTAAAACATTAACTTGTGTAATAAAACCATCTGCCAGCATATTGATACAGAGGCAGAAAGTGATCTCGTGTGACTGACAGTGGCTGGAAATAATAATACTCACGATATTCTAGCTGTCAAAAGTGTTGTGTGGTGGCTAGTGGATGTGCGTGTGTGTGTGTGGTTAGTGAAGGGAAAGTGAGGCAGACTGGATCTTTACCACTGGGGTTTACTCTTCATCACGGAGGCAAGAATTGGGTGTTTCAGCAGGTAACGTATGAGGAATTTTTACCTGTAGGTCACTCGAATCTCCTCAGGATTAACCAACAACTTATTTCACCCGGAGATAAACCATCCTAATGGTAAACTAACCTTACGATTAACTATCCTAACACTAACCTAAACTAACCCTCCACCCCCAGGTAGCGTTAGGATGATTAATTAACAAGTGATATAAGCTGAAGGGGCTAATCTTCAGGTGTTCCCGTCTGTCTCTTCTCTCATTCAGTGTTCCACCTCCCTCTCACTACAACACGATCTGTCCGTACACTTCAGGTGGTTTCTTTCAACGCCTTCACTGACACCAAGACCCACGTGTGCCTTGGGTTACCTCGCCGAATATTTCCCTTTGGGTCGAATGATAGCCGATCCGTTGCATTTAACTTCTGTTCTCTCAATTTAAATATGAATAAATATCATAGCTAATTAAAATCTGGTGAAATAGATAAGACATGTATTTGTGAGTGTTAGTTGTTGTAGTGCGTAGTGTTAGAGTAAAACTTCCCTCCTTCTCTCCTCCCAGCAGTACACAGGTTATCACCAGACATCAAGGACATCAGCAACAAGAACCAAGCAACTTCTGAACGCATTCCGAGCTCATCAAAAATATGCTTGGATCTGGATTCTCTCTCTCGTGAAGTCGAATGTAATCTCTCTCTTGAATATGTGTTAGTACTTCTTAGTGGCTCATATACGCTGCGGCACGGTGATAGTAGACAAAGTATTGGTGGTACAGCGATAACGCGCATAACTCACTAGTATGTCAAGGGTTCGAGCCTCGGCCCAGACACACGTGAGAAGGGTGTTATCCAGTGTGACCCTACCAAGCATCACAGGTTTCCCGGTCCCCGGTTTCCTCCTGTAATAACACTGGATAGAGCTCCCAAACGGCTAGTAAGCTGATAAATGGCGCGAATGATAATAAAAAAAGAAGAAAACAAAGTGATGATTGTATGATTGTATGATTTTAAGTACAGTAGAGAGGAATTACTTAATATGAGTACGAGAGCCCCGTTTTAGTATTATTCATTACGGCCTTTTCTCTATAATTGATCAAACACCTGAATTCAATTTCATTATTACAGAAAAAGTTGGGCAGGTTAGGTAATTAAATGTGCATATATTTATAGGTACTACATTAATATTATTCAGGATCACTTTTAAGTTAGTAGTTATGAATCTTCGTTTACATCACCCGACGTTAGGTTGTAGGGCGGAGGCAAGTTATTACAGTGGTATGATCAATCGTGCAGTATACAGTGGTCATTAGTCGATGGATGAAGGTACATGTGTTGCATCATCTGACACACACACACATGAAGGCATTACGCATTGTGTTATATGGAAGTGACTCCTCTGTTAGCCACCAAGTAACCAACACTAGTACAGTACTTAGCGAGGTGATATTTTTGGGTATAATTCATTGAGAGAGGTGTTGTTTATTCACAGTAATTGTTGGTATTGAGAGACCTTGCTATCAATGTGTGAAGACGGAGAACGTGGGGTCAACAAGCCAGTGTGTTCCAGTTATCAGGTGTGACCCAAATACTGTACCTTCTTTTGTGACAAGCTGTCTCTCATTCTGTCGTCAACAGATTAGAGAGAGAGAGAAGAAAGAACTCTTGGGATCATTTGATAATAAAAGTGACATTTCCAGACTTCATAAAACCCAATTAAAGATAAATTTCCCGGATACACCTAAGACAACACAGAACACGGCACCTCTCAGCTCTCATGGCCTCCAACCTGCAAGGCTTGTTGTCAACTTTGTCAAAAGTTTTCGATGTTACACAACACTCATCTAAAAGTTGTGCCGAATGAGTTCAGTTGTTTTTCTCATTCATATAAAATCCTCTCGCCTTCAAACAGATAAGATGGTAATGGTGATTGTTCTCAAGTGTCGGGCCTCAGTAGCCTGGTCCCCTGTTGTTATTAACAGACAACAGGTAGCCACTGGCAGGACGTCATCTGATAACACCTGTACACTGAGCAATGACAAGTGAATTGCTGTCAACATAAACATGGTGCACGGGGGGCTAAAAAATTCTACTTTTAGCGAGTCTGTAAAATATTATTCACAAAAATGTATGGAAGGTGTGGAAGTTGATCCTAGCCATAAACGATACATGGCGAGGTCATAAGAAAGGGACGAGGGTGTGAGCTTGTGGTTGTCTGTAACTTTAAGTGTAAATATGGTAAAATTATCGGTAATATCTTATAACAGCTTCGACAGTACAGAGATTGAACACTTCAGTTTCAACGCTCCTTTATGATCTTGTTAGCTGTACGGAACAGTGGAAGCCACAAATAAGGCCAAGTTAGGCCCGTATTATGAGACGCTACAGAATTAAGAAATTAAATTATTGCAGAAACAGGTGAGGGAAGTAAGGAAAAATAATGAACTTTTATAGAATTTAGTAAAGTGTGTAAGTACTGTGTTTTCGACCCGATAGCGGCCCGTGAAACATGAAATCACTTATGAAAGAAGTTATGAATCAGATTAATTATCATAGCCTTACGGCCTTATCTTATTTCTTAGGTTAGGTTTGTTTGGTTTACCTTTCATAAAATATTTAATAATGCTGTAGAAGCTTCATGGCTATTGGCCTTGTTCACACACGTCTTCGCGAGGTTGCTTCTTGCGTGAAACTTAACGAATGATTCTAATCCCAATTTATTTTGCCTGCAGTGAGAAAGTGTGGCTAGTAATTGTGTAAATAAAACAATAATAAACCTAAACTAATAATATCACGAACTTAAATTAACTTAAACTTTACCCAAAATAAATTATAATTTTATTGGATTCTATTCAACTACATATTTTATCCTAAATCTCTTTCAGACTCGAATTTCTTTTAAATATATGTATCAGGTGATAGAGTTTAAGAAATCTTATCGAAATTCAGAAAATAGAAAGCGTTTTTTAATATTTGGCCCACAGCCCAAACCTGATGAAGGCTGGAGTTTCGATACAATATTTTACTTTTTAACATCAGGAAGGAAAGATGAAGTACTGAAGCAGCTATCAAACAGGGAGGTACTACCGCCTGGGAAGATATTGGAAGCATAATGTGTTGTCTAATGGTAGACCCTGCTGCCATATGGCATCACGAAAATTGTGACCAAGTCCCAGGTTGCTGATCTGACTTTCTGCCTCATTTACACACAATTGCAGGGTCTCAATTGTTTCTCTTACTATTGACAACACAACATACACATAACGTTTCTGACTCTTGATCTTTTTTAATTTGTAGTTCCTTATTATTATTATTATTATTATTATTATTATTATTATTATTATTATTATTATTATTATTATTATTATTATTATTATATTTTCACTCACCAGGCCCTGATGAGGGTCTATTGACCTGTGCCCGGTGAGCTAATCCCCGTATTATATATACTCGTGTGTGTGTGTGTGTGTGTGTATATATATATATATATATATATATATATATATATATATATATATATATATATATATATATATATATATATATATATGTGTGTGTTAATAAGTGCATATCGTGTGGAATATGACAGGATGTGCAAGATACATGTTGGGAGGGAACACAAGCAAGGCGGTTAACTGTAGAATACAACGTAGCAGATTTGACATTGTTTAGGTGATGGAGATGACCTATTTTGACCAATAATAAGGACTTTAAATAGATCTTAAAAATTTATTATTGGTTCGGTGTGAGGGAGTACATTATGTGAAGAATTTTATTTGCCGTCAACTTGTTTATAATATCACCATTAAACATCGGCGTTACCTCAGAATTGCGAAGTTATTATACCGAATACAAGGATTGAAGAAAAAATCGTCTGGAGGGATTTCACAACCATTCGGTAAAAAAAAAATCCGTAAAAATATTCTCAAGGCAATATTACACACTACTATCAGTGATGAAGATCTAGGTGGTGACGCAGTTGAGATTGTCACATAAAAGCTGAATGAAAATTTATCGGGTAGAAATGATCACCTGAGGATTCTCCCACCAGCTCATTTCCCCTCACGATTAATCACCCTAACCTAACCAACACTAACCTAACACAACATAACTTAATATACCTAACCTTAAACTAACATACCATATCCTAACCAAACCTAACCAACCATAATCTGTCATAACCTATCCTAACCTAGCCAACAAGTACCTTAGCATTGATAACTTGCTTTAAATTATCAAATGGAATAAAGAGTTAGGGAGGCTAATATTCAGGAAGTGAGAAGAATCTAGACAATATCAAGTGCTATGCTCACCCCACTTTGTCAAGAGAGTATTAAACACGAAACTTTATTTTATCATCAAAGATACACTGCTGATAAGGACGAGGTCGAGTCAAACTAATAAACTTTAGTATTGTAATTTTCGATGAAGTAGTTGTTCCGACAGAAGCCACAAGGCATAATAAATAAACAGAAAAAGGAACCACAAATATGATATAAAGAAAGATACAGTTTAGGTATAAATGTAATGTCTATAGTGAAGGAGGATGCGAACATTATGAATTTGAAGTGCATGTTATCTTTTGTACTAATTTATGTTCACTTCATACCACCGTTGTGTTGCCCAAAAAAAGTAAGTAGTAAAACACATTATGTGCTAGTAATTATAGCCTTAATTACCAAAATATATCCAGACTTCCCTAAAATTTTGTGCATATATCCGAGATGCAATATTGCTTTTACGTGTAATGTAATCCACGCCCTTGTTGTGACTTTGTGACTGGACGTACAATGACTAAAACAATCAAAACAGCAACAACAATCAAAGAAATTAATAAACTTTACCAGTATTGTATGTATGATATGTATAATTCATCAGAGTATACAAGGTATTTACATGTGTTGGATTATTATACACATTGTAAGGGCGGTAACGAGCGGGATGGTTATCCGCCGCTCGTTTGCTTGTTCGCGGCCCCACAAGGGGGGGGGGGGGGTAGACGGAGGTGAGAAGGTCGCTGCTGCTTCGTCACACGTCAGACACTACTCAGCCAGTACCACGGCTGCATTTCCCCTGCTGTTCGATCCAACTCTGGTTGTGTACTCATCTGAGGCTCGTGGGCTGATTCCCAAATCCTTCACTATTCGGCTGTCAATCTTCAGTTACTACCGCGGCTGCCTCGTCATCGCCACTTACTCCACGTCCTATCCACCGTCCGTGCCCTGGCGTCTCTCCTGTGTGGCAAGACATTGCCCACCGGCGCCAAGTGAGGAAGCTGCCTTGGACCTACCCCCTGAGAGCGGATCACCGCGTTAACAGAACATTCCACGGAGCAACAGACGTAGGAAATATCTGTACTTTGTTTGACTCGTTATTGTTTATGTAATATTTGTATGAGTGGTGTCAATTATTGTGATTATTTTCGTAGTAAAGAGATGTCTATCTCTAATGTTTGTTTATTACCCCTTGGAAACCCATGGTTCTTGGCTTTCTTTCTATAAGATCTTGATTAGGCTGGCAAGGGATTTATATCCCAAAAGTCCAAGACTTTACACACGTCTACAATAGTATTAATGGGGAGTCGACAATCTGAGGTGGCTTTGCCATTTTTTTTCTAAATTGGGTAAAACGTGCACCATCTTCACTTTCATAGTGATTTTGCCTGCGGCCATCTAGTGCTCGTATAACACCTTGTTGTGCAACTGTTCACAAATGCCGTGGAAAGAGGAAGCAGTGAGGAATATTGATAAGGATATCATGATTATGAATTCATTGACCCCGGGGACGCTCGCGTAATAGGTTATGAGACCGCAGTATACCAAAGCTTCTTGTAAAGTTCACTGAATGTCGTTGTATTCGTTTTAACCCGTTATCGACTACAGTATATCTTCTATATACAACACATTTAAGCATACATGGGAAATGATAAGAATTTAGTAAATACAGGTAAAGTATATCATTTAGTGGCAAATCCAAGAGATCAAGGGCTCAAAATCTCCGTTTAAAAAAAAAAAAAATTGCTAAAGAGAACCACAACACCCTTAGTGTACAGGAGTTTGGTTTGGCAAAAGGGGGGGGGGCGGTATTAATTCACAACTTTGCACATCATTAGGTCCTCCCACCCCTCTATAAGGCATCTTACATTCAACTTTGAGAATTGAGCCCCATCCACACGATCGAGCAGTGCCCGGCGGGCTTTGCCCGTTTACCGGGCAAAGCCTGTGTGTTGTACGCAAGGGGGTGGTTGGCGGCAGTCTTAGTCGGGCGCCGGTAGCTAGTAGGTAGTCGGCAGTGGCGGTTCGATCACCATGGTGTCGCAGGAATAATCGCCGGACAGTTAAAGCGAAGAGCATAGCGTTGTGTACTATAATAATTGCTGCTATAAGCAAAAAGAAGAACCAAATGCAGAAAAGGGAATGGTGCAAACAGTGGTTAGGTCGAAGAAAAGTATTGGGAAGTCATGCCACGATTTTACGTGAATTGCAAGATGGACATGAGCAAGATTTCACCAATTACATGAGAATGGACCCCAACACCTTTTACAAACTTCTAGCGAAGGTGGAACCATATATAAAAAAAAACAGGATACCTACTGTATATGAGGAAGAGTATATCTGCTGAGGCTCGTCTAGAAGCAATGCTCATATATCTTTCAACTGGGAGCACCTACACGTCACTTCAGTATAGAACGAGGATATCAAAAAGTTTGCCTCACATAATACCTGCAACTTGTCAAGCCATGTATGAAGTATTCAAGGAAGATTACTTACAGGTGAGATTTGTAGTACATAAAAATTCATTGAATAATGTTAGAATTATGATATGCATACACAGGAAGCTATGGAACTAGAGTGAGGAGAGCGGCAGGAACGAAGAACACACACGAATGTCCTCATTACATAATACATAAACAATCTCCCCTTTATTGTCACGCCAATAATGTACATTGCATAAGCTTATTTGGTTATACACTGGACATCTGGACCGAGCGGGGAACATATACGTATCACATTTGCAGTACTTAACTCAGGTTTTACAAAGTGCTAGCATACGTTCTGTCAGTATCTCTGTTCATACCTCACCGACTTGAGGACCCCGAGGTCAGGGTGGTGTGGTGAACAGCTGTTTTTGACAGTCACGTGAGGTTCCAATAATAACACGTGTCTTGTATTGCAGGCTTGTGTAATGTTGAATATTAATGACAATATTATAGGAATGTCGGTTTTCCGGTTTTATCGATTATAATCGATAAAACCGGAAAACCGGTTTGTGAAGGGGTCCCAGGGTCAACTCGTTTGTCTGGCAGAGTCGTCGATCCATATCCGGCAGCAAACCACCAGGCAGGCGGACCATGATTTTGTTCAACGACGGGCACGGGCACTACGCTGGTTTGCCCGCCAATTTTGCCAGATAACGGGCATTTAGCGCGTGCCCGCCGGGCACTGCTCGATCGTGTGGACGGGCCTTTAGTTTGTCTGTTTTAGGAAGATTATGTTCAAAATTAATATCTGAAGGATAACTATACGTTTTGTGTTACCGTGTATAGAATGACTTGCGTAGGAAATAGGAACATTTGCTTCGAGGTCAGTTGACTGGTTGATGTAGAAGTCACCTGGACATCCTGAGAACACAGACACGCCAGATAACACGAATACTGTACACACAAAATTGCGACACACTGTAATCATTTCGACAACTATTTTAGATACTGGTCATAGAGTCATTCCCGTGATGATAGTGGTGAAGTACTTACCGTCTGTTGTCTCTCAGGGCGGGTGTTGCTGCGTCAGGGGGTGAGGGTGGAGCCATGCGTCCACCACGGAGCTCCCCCCAGCCAACCACCCAGCTGCTGCTGTTGCTGTCCCTGCTGCTGCCTGCCACAGTACTCGCCACCACCACTACTGCAGGTAAATACTGGAGTTCTATAGACAATAGGTATTCACTGACGGCACGACAGTTTCTGATTAGCTATGTGATGTTAACCATTGAAAGAGTTATCAAAACAAGGCGTAGGAGAACTAAGAGTTTTAGTCTACGTTTTGTTTCTACAAAATTATGAATTTATTTTGTCGTGGTGTTTTGCTGGATTAGTCTCTGTGGTTTGTCAATCAAACGCCAACATTACGCTGATAAATAACTGTTGCTCATGCGTACGACAACAGGGAGTGTAGTTGCTGGCACGTTGCCACGGCTCTCCACCTTTTTTAATGCTGTGTATCACAAGAGATAATATTGACTTTTGTTATTGATGACTCAACAGCGCTGGGATACTGAATAAGGATTTTAATGATTCAAGGTTTAAAAAAGCATTTTTCATTGCATGGCCTCATTTAATACACTAAGTGGAAATATAGTCAATAAGTACGTGGTGCTAAACTTGAACTTTACATTTAATTGGCTTGTATATAGTTATATATTATCTTATTTAATCTCCTGACTAAGTTGAACAATATAGAAACTAAAAAAAAAATATGAGTGTGGTCAGAATTAATTTATTATTATTTATTTATTCTATTTTTTTTGCGAGGAGGTTCCCATGCTTGCTGGCCCTAAATAAATAGGTACAAGGTTAAATTTTATCGAATTACCTTAAGATAAGCCCCTAACATATTGCGCCTGAAGATTAACCACCCTAGCGCTACCTGAGGGGGCGAGGGGTAAGTTTGAATGGTCAATCTTCTGGTGATTCCAATTTCGCATTAACTCGCTGTTTTGTTTTTAGAGAAGTAGAAATGTTCAGTGGCAGATGTACTGAGATTTCGAGTGTGTTACTGTGTTGGCAGGTGTTACTGTGTTGGCAGGTGTTACTGTGTTGGCAGGTGTTACTGTATGTTGGCAAGTTGTTACTGTGTTGGCAGGTGTTACTGTATGTTGGCAAGTTGTTACTGTGTTGGCAGGTTGTTACTGTGTTGGCAGGTGTTACTGTATGTTGGCAAGTTGTTACTGTGTTGGCAGGTTGTTACTGTGTTGTGCAGGTGTTACTGTATGTTGGCAAGTTGTTACTGTGTTGGCAGGTTGTTACTGTGGCAGGTGTGTTGCTGTGTGTAGGTGTGTTACTGTATTTGTAGTGTTGCTGTATGTTGGCAAGTTATTACTGTGTTGGCAGGTTGTTACTGTGTTGTAGCAGGTGTGTTACTGTGTTGGCAGGTGTGGCAGCTGTACATATGTTGGCGTTTGTTACTGTGTTTTTACTGTGTTGTAGGTGTGTTACTGTGTTTGTGGGTGTGTTGTTACTGTATGTTGTTGGCAGTGTTGCTGTATGTGATTTGTACTGTGTTGTGGTGTGTTACTGTGTTGCTTAGGTGTTACTGTATGTTGTGAGTTGTTTGCTGTTTGGCAGGTGTTACTATGTATTTATGTAGAGATTGTTACCTGTGTTGTAGGTGTGTTACTGTGTTGGCAGGGTGTGTTGCACTGTGTTGGCAGAGTGTTACTGTATGTTGTAGATTGTTGTTGGGTTGTTACTGTGTTGGCAGGTGTGTTACTGTATGCTTGGGTGTGTTACTGTGTTGTAGGTGTTACTATGTATGGCAAGTTGTTGCTGTGTTGCTTGGAACTTGTTACTGTATTTTGGCAGAGTGTGTTACTGTGTTGGTGTTGCTGTATGTTGCAAGTGTGTTACTGTGTTGTTGGCAGGTGTTACTGTAGCAGGTGTGTGTTGCTGTACTGTGTTACTTTATGTTGTAGCATGCGTGTTGTGTGTTGGCGATGTGTACTGTATGTTGTAGGCGTATTTATATCTTCTTAGAGTTGTTACTGTATGTTGGCAGGTGTGTGTTACTGTGTTGTAGAGGTGTACTACTGTGTTAGGCAGGTGTGTTACTGTGTTGTGAGTGTTACTGTATGTTGGCATGTGTGTTACTGTATTGTTGTTAGTGTTGGAGTGTTGGCATGTGTTGTGTGCTTGTAGGTGTTTTGCTGTGTTTGTAGGTGTGTTTACTGTATGTTGGCAGGTGTGTTACTGTGTTGGCAATCGTGCAATTGTGTTATTGTATTATTGTTTAGCAGTGTGTTATTGTGTTGTTATGTGTGTTATTGTGTCTGGCAGGTTACTGTATGATGTGGTGTGTTGTGTGTTGTAGGTGTGTTACTTGGTGTGGAGTGTTGTGTGTTGGCAGGTGTTACTGTTGATTGGCAGGTGTGTTACTGTATGTTGCTTGGGTGTTTTGCTGTATGTGTTGGCGTGTGTTACTGTGTTGACAGGTGTGTTAGTGTTGGCAGGTGTTTCTTTTCATCAGGCGTGTTCCTCGTGGTTATTGTATGTTGGCAGGTTGTTTTGTATTTGGCATGTGTGTTACCTGTTGTTACTGTATGTTGACAGGTGTGTTACTGTATGTTGGCAATCGTGTGGTGTGTAATTGTGTTGGACTTGGGCGTGTTTATTGTGTTGGCAGTTGTGTTGTGTGTTGGCAGGTGTGGTGGGCAGGTGTGTTACTGTATGATGGCAGGTGTGTTATTGTGTTTAGGTGTGTTACTGTGTCTGTGTTGGCAGGTGTGTTACTCTATGTTAGGCTGTATGGCATGGCAGGTGTGTTGCTGTGTTGGCGTATGTTGTAGGTGTGTTACTGTGTTGATGCAGGTGTGTTACTGTTGTTGCAGGTGTAATTGTGTTACTCTAGGTGTCGATATTGTGTTGTGTGTTGTTGTGTTGGCAGGTGTGTTACTGTGATGGCGTTTTGTTAGCAGGTGTGTTATTGTTATTGTGTTGGCAGGTGTGTTACTCAGTTATTGCGTTAAGTGTGTTATTGTATGTTGGCAGGCGTGTTATTATGTTTGGCAGGTTGCTTGGGTGTGTGTGTTAGGTGTGTTATTGTATTTGGCTGTTACTGTTTTAACAGGTGCGTTGTGTTAGCAGGCGTGTTATTAATGCAGCAGGTGTGTTATTGTGTTGCAGGTGTGTGTGTTCGCAGGTGTGTTACTGTATATTGGCAGGTGTGTTACTGTATGTTGGCAAGCGTGTTACTGTGTTGGCAGTTGTGTTACTGCAAGTTGGCAGGCGTGTTACTGTGTTGGCAGGTGTGTTAATGCATGTTGGCAGGTGAGCTGCTGTGTTGGCAGATGTGTTAGTGTAAGTTGGCAGGCGTGTTATTGTGTTGGGAGGTGTGTTTCTGTATGTTGACAGGCGTATTACTGTGTTGACAGGTGTGTTACTGTGTAACAATATCATGAGTTTCCCTCCACTTGAGAGTTCCCCTCCAATTTTAAGCCAATAGTATGAAGGCCTTAGGCCTGTCTTCGACCAATGAGAAAGCCTATGAGGCGTGACGTCATTAAAGTTTTGGTGTCCCAAGTGGGCTCACTCGTCTTGAATAGCCGAGTCTGCGTTTGGTAAGAGTTAAGTGTGCTTGTGACCTGGGTGTTACCTCCTCGTATGGCGGCTATAACGTCAGTACCTATTAGGTTTGATCCGTTTCCCGAAATGTATTGTGAGTAATGGACCCCTTGGTTAGCATGCTAGGAATTTAGGTTTATTGTTTTGAAGTGTAACCATTATGATTAGTTCTCAATTCCCTTGTGTTGACTAAAACATTGTCATGCATGTCTTTGGTATTATGCAGTAATACGGTGAGTCCTATGTTGGCAGGTATGTTACTGTATAATGGCAGGCCTGTTACTGTGTTGGCAGGTGTGTTACTGTATGTTGGCATGTGTGTTAATGTTATTGTGTTGGCAGGCGTGTTACTGTGTTATTGTGTTGGCAGGTGTTGTGGAGCAGGACAGGTCAGCCGTGTACAAGCAACGGGTGGAGGTGAGAGTGGACGGTACCACCGCCTACAGCGCCACCGCCGTAGTGGAAGTCAGCAGGTACACCTCAGACACACTGCTAATTCTCACCACTAGAGACCCGGACAACAACGCCACACCCCTTGTAAGTTTCTGGCTGCTCGGAGAGACACTGGTGGCAAACATGCTGTCGCGGTAATAGTCTTTCAGGGGCTAAAGAACACCATGATGTTTTTCAGGGGTTAAGGAAAACGAGGATACGAGATATATTTCAGCAGGGGATCGGTGGTAGAAGCGGTACCGTTCTTGCCTCGCAAGCGATATGTCACGGGTTCGATTCCCGGGCCGGTGGAAGTTGTTTGGACTTACTTCCTAGCCCCCATTAGTCCCTGTTCACCTAGCAGTAAAGTAGGTACCTGGTGTAAATCGAAAGTTGCGAATTCGTATTCAGGGAAAGTTGTTGGAGCTTCCAATAACTTGATGACATAAACCACTGACTCTTCAGGCTTCTACGCCCTTAACTCATGAGACATAAAGCAAGCATGAACTTAGCATGCTTCTCTGTTGGGCACTGTAAACGCTTCTGCGCTTCACCTTACACAAGGATGTAGGGGAGTGCCCAATAAAAAATATATATATATTTCAGCGGTGACTACATTAATTTACAATAAAAGCGTCATCACTAGTTCAATATACTGTATACTCCCTGCCATGGTAACGATTTGCGGGCAACTTAAATGAAACCAGAAAGTGAACAACATTCAAGAGTTTTTCCCATCTGCTCGTAAATTACTTAAGTCTTTACTCCGTGTGTCAGTTTATAAGACGTTCTTTATGGACCAAATATTCTAAGACATTTCAATACACTTTTAATAAACCAAACGCTAGTAACACTTGAGAAGATCAGTTGGAATAAATAACTCGTTAACCAGACCACCATTTAGCGTCATCGACGGTTGCCAGTTGGTGTTGTGATATTATGGTGGTGGTCGCTACTGTGAGCTCAGGACGGACCATCACTTTGCCTCATCCAAGAATCTTACACGTTTCTGTATTAAGGTATACACTGCATAAACCAGGGTGTAGCAATGCATACTGTGCACTGCTACACCATTATTAGTTATTATTTTAGTATTTATTTTTATTTTTATAATAGAAAATACTGTACATTTGGAATGTTGTAGTAAAACAAATACTATTGATCTGTACTGAGTAATGAACCGTTTTGTTTTGTGTTGCACTGCTGTATGTGTCTAACACGGAATCAATAAGCTGTTCACTAAGACTGTCACAAATTAGCCCATAAAGGTCATTCAAGCTCAACCCTGGTTTATGTCTTCAGTCCTATAGTATTGTTCATATAATATGTCCGGCTACATAGTATATGGTGTCTTACAGGTGTCAGGTCGGGGATCAGGACGTGCTGTGGTGGTGAAGAGTGTGAGAGGCCACCTTACTTCCCTACTACACCATGTTGAGGAAACACCCGCCTCCCTTAACTACAAGAGGTCGCTCGCCTCCCTCCTCACCCCCGCCCACCACACCGCCTCACTCGCCTACCACACACAGGTACTGTAACCCCCATCACCTCCTGTTGATGAGTTGCAGATTATATTGACGTTTTATATGAGGTATTGTGTGATTTCACCTGGATTACCCTCACAGGCCGATGTGTTGGGGACGTGTGAGGTGCGGTATGAGCGTCAGGGGTCAACCACCATCACCGAACGTGACCTGACCCGCTGCTCCCACTTCACCCTGGAGAGAGTCCTCGGTGGCCATCACCTGCCCCTCCTTCACCTGGTAAGTAACGGGAAATGACTTTGTGACGACTTCTCGGGTTATACCGGGCAGAATCATTGACTCTTAGGACCCAAGAGGTTAAGATACACGGAAGTAAGACATTCCTGGTGAAGTTATAGCTCAGTGTTACCAGCAACTGGTTTTACACATCTGGTTCAAAGTATGGCAACGTTTTACTGGAGGTTTACTTTGTTTCTTCAGAGGAATTAAAAATGAAATTTATTGCTTTCCAGGTTGATAAATTTATTCGGTCATCTGGCCAAGACTCAAAGGTTAAAGCAACAAAATGTCATAATCAACAAAATTTTAAGGCAGAGTTGTGTGTTACAGAGTGTGGACCTGGTGGGCAGCACCTCACGCTGCCAGTACCGGTGGCGGGGCGCAGCCGGGGGCGTGCTAGAGGGCGTCCAGTGCACAGAGACGTTACTGGTGGCCCCTCGGTACTCCCGAGCGTCAGACCTCCTCAACATCACCATCACCTCATCCCTCACACACACCGCCACCGCCCACTTCAACCCCGCTGCCTATGAGTGTAAGTCAGCGTAGCACCAACTGTGGTATGTTGTGTTTGTTGTTCGGATTATCATCTGTACCAGATGCTCGTGACTGTGTAAGTGGCATTTATATACAAAGTGAGCTGTTATAAAGGTGGTACACCTTCTCACATATTGACTATAGTTTACAAATATACTGTTGATGTAGTGTTAACAGCTTTGATCGTTCGAGTAATTATTTGAGGGTCGATTAAAAAGCTTAAAATTATATTTCTTTTTCAGACTTGGAGGAGGCGACCGAGACAACAGACGTGACCTACCAACCAGTGCCGTACGAGACTGAAGGTAAACAATAACATTACAACACCCACCGTTGTTAAATCAAACAACGTTCCTGTGTTTTTTAATAATGTTCCTCTGATAAATATGCAGTAATCATCACTCACCTTCAAGAGAGTTCCAGTACTCGAAAGGCAGAGTTCTATCAGTCGTGTTGTTGTTGCTCACTTTGCATCTGTATTATTCTGGCGAATTAAAATGTTCCAATTTCAACAGTGATGCATAATATTATCTAAGTCAAGACACAATAGTCGCCCCTGTGGTACTAAATAATGAAATATAGTTTTATTCTTACAACACACTACATTTTTGCATCTCCCCCGTTATTAAAGATTAACACAATTGCGTTCTAGCTCATTTTTTTAGTACGTAATCACTTCGTGTTAGACTATTTCTTATAAGTATGTAAAGTCGCTGACTACCTCACACTGTGCTGTCGACCTGCCGCAGGAGACGACAAGGACGTGTCGGAGCTGCTGAAGGAAGTATGCTCGACGGAGGGTGAAGGACGTCTCACGGGCGGTTTACTACAGAAGATGTCGCAGCTGATGCACACGGTGGCTCGCTCCTCCACGCTAGACCTGCCCCACTTCACCACCTCCTGCCCCGCCAACCTCAGGTCAGTTTACGTGTAGCCTTATCTATCACTGCTCAAATGGACCTTGAATCTAATGGACTCCAGTCTTTATGGTCACTGAGGGGCTTGACTTGACCTGACGTCTGTAGATAAGGTAGAGGGCTATTGCTTATAATGCTGAGTGGTAGGGCAGGGATTAGGATTGGAAGTACTTTGGTGGCAATTTGGGGGAGAGGGGGTTGGTTTAGGATCAAGGAGAAAGAGGGAAGAAATTTGAAGGACAGTAAGAGATTGACAGTATCCGGGCTCAACCAGATATGCCGAGGTTATAATAATTATAATTTGAACTTACATCTTGCGTGATTAGGTTCTAGCTCTCAAGCCTTTTTCATTTAGTTAAAAATATGTTTATTTTTGTAGTAGCCATTGTTTCAAGGAAGGGGTGACGACCTCTAGCCAGGTTCTTGTGGAGCTGGCTGAGCAACGTATCTTTTGTTTTAATAAGAGTGGAAGGAAGGGGCAAGAAGACAAGTGTTGGAGAGGCCAAGGATAGTGTCCTTTGGTCACTCATCTTTTTAATGAAACATTTTCTGTTTTAGAGAATTGAAGCGTTTTGTTTATAGTAGGGAAGTTTAGTTTTTAAGAAGAGATGTAGGATCCAACTTGCTACTTTTGTTCACAAGGAGGTGGTCCTATCTTTTGGTTTAATTGAAAGATTGAAGCTTGACTTGAAGGTACAGTATTTAATGGCTATACAGTTCTTTTTGTTTTTGTATTAAATTTGATAATTTTTAGATGTATTTTGGTATTGGTGGTGGGTTGTCGACTCTTATTCTGCTTAATCTGAACCAAGCGTGTTCTTCTCTTGCTCGTTGTCGAGTCAGTTTGCTACTGTAGTCTAACTCTAGTATTTGTTCCCATGTTCTTTTGGCTTGGATGTAGATGTCTACGTTTACTGCGTTGATGTTGGCTCTTCTATGGAGTTCTTCGTTTGTTACTCTTTCTTAGTAACTGATGTTATATATGAAAGGCTTTTATTTTGTACCGTTTAGTTTCTTGATTTGTTCTAAATGAATTGGTTGGTACAGGCGGGTAACACATTACTGATTTTATTAGTAACATGTATAACTTCCTTTTGTTTGGTATGTTCAGGTTTTTTAATCTTATTTTTGAGAGTTTGCTACGTAGTTTGTGGACTTTTTCGTTGATGAAGCTCTGGTAACCATTTGTTGAGAGTTTCAGTCCCAGGATGCTGCCTTCGTTGGTGTTGGGTAAATTTCTTCATCTACTATTACTGGTTCGACCTTTTTCTTGGCAATTGGTATAATTTTAAATTTGTTGATGTTTGTCCGTATTTTCCATTTCTTTTCGTAGTCATTTATGTTTTTTATTACTAAGGCTGTATGGCGTGCCATCGTTGCTTCTGATTTTCGGGGATATGATATGATTTGTGTGATGTCATCGGCAAAGATAATGTGTTCGCTATGTTGCGTTGGTTTAGGTAAGTTGCTGTATATATGGAGAATAGTGTTGGGGATAGGACGTCTCCCTGGGGAACTCCGCTTTCTAGGTCGAAGGGTGGACCTAAATGGTTGCCAATTTGTAGCTGTGCTGTCCTGTTTTGAAGGTAGTTACATAGGATTCCTGAGGGGCTTGTTTGATCTGTAATTCTCTTAATCACTGCGTAATCAAATGATCGTCACCTGAAATAAGAAGCTTGTACTGTCCTTACTTGGGAGATACAATAATAATGCTATCAAGACTTTGGTAATGGAGCGGGAAAAAAAGATGGCTAGAATGAGTGAGTAATTCAGAGACAGAGGAAGATTTAAAGACCATGGTGTTAGTTAGAAGGACGGGGTGAAGGACACACTGGGAATCTATAAGTCAGGTGGGTGGGTGGACCTCCAGGGAGCAGCAGTGGGCGTGACCGAACGGGGAAGAAGTCGAGTGATTTTGGGAGGAAGAACGTATGGGTGATGATCGCGTGTGTGAAGTGACTGGGATAAAAAGTGTGGACATTTGAGGTAACAATACATATATTGCAGCAATGAGAATGATTGAATGATAGTGAATGAATAGAGAATAATAATAATAATAATAATAATAATAATAATAATAATAATAATAATAATAATAATAATAATAATAATAATAATAATAATAATAATAATAATTAACAGTTTATTGAAAGAGCTTGGCAGCCAGAAGGCTGAAAATATACAGTTACATATTTGGGGAATGGGTTACGAATTACAAATAATATACAAGTAACATAAGTGATACAAATAAGATATATAATAACTAGATGGGGAAAAGCTCAAACTACAGTGCATTTCAACATAGTGACAGTGCAAGAGTAGTGTTTACTGGGAGTGAATACACTGATTTATTACAAGTTATTGATAATTTTTACAATGGTTGGGACTGGGCTGTTCTTATAGCGATCAGTTCGTGCACGTATGGGCTGGATGCGGTTGTGGTGTCGAACAGCAATTCTCGGGCTAGGGATCTCAGGTGGTAGTAGGAGCCGGTGTGTGTGTGTTTCATTCGTCACCTACAGTAGGAAAATACTTGTAAGCATAAAGTCGTATATTAATACAGTATTATAATAATGATCTCCCCGCTGCAGGAAGATGGTGGCGGTGGCGTGGGCCGTGGTGGGAGGTCCTCGCACTTTACACTTCTTCTTCGCCCAGCTGGCTGTGAGTACTTCCTCCTCGTCTTGTAGTCTACTATCTATCCCTCCTTCCTTTCCCTTATTCTCTCCCTTCCCTGTCCTCTTTCCTTTCTTTCCTTTTCCCCTCTCCATTTCTTCCTTTCACCTTCTCTCCCTCCCTTCTCACCATTTTCCTGCCTATTTTTCCCTCCTCTCTCCTCTCTCCATCCCTTCTTCTCATCTTCCTGTTGATCCTCCCCTCCCCTTCTCTTTCCTCCCTCTTGCTAAGTTATGTTACCCATGACCCTCTATATAATGCTCTGGTGGCATCACGGGGTCATCACTGTCTCGATACTTTGGTTATTGACGACTATTTCACGCTGATTTCTTCATCTTTCTATTGAACTTGAAGATTTTGTTTACATACAGCTAGGACCAAGAAGACACACAAAATCTGTTAACACACTTTAGGTTTGTTTTGTTTTGGCGGGAATTTTTTTTTTCTGTGACCTCCAACAAAGGTTTGATAATTTACCATCTTCTGCTATTCAATTCACTGTGATGGTTGATGATAATCTTACTCAACATTGTATTAGGGATGTCTCGTTACCTTCTGTTATTCAATGTTAAGAAAAAGACAAACCGGGAATCCTTTATTAGCTTAAAATATATTATGTATGGTGCAGGAACTGGCACGAGACCCCGAGGACCCCATGAGGCTAGGGGACGACTTCCTTTTCACCCTGGCGTTGAGGAGTCTAGTGGACCCCGGCCACCATGCCCGACACAACCTTCCTCACGACTTCTTCCTTCGTCGGGAGAACCAGATGGTGTATGAGGAGGTGAGGAGAAATACAGCACCACGGTATACACTTACAGTCATGTATGAATAAGATATACATGTACATCTCTGTGTATGGTTCTATATTATGAAGATTTTATATACACGTTTCAGCCAAATATGTGTTCCTTCAGTATTTCTTATAATGTATTTATATGCTTCAACAACTAAGGTTTTTCAACATCTAGTACAAATCACTTTATACACTAGACAATAACAACTAAAACTTAAAAGATATAAAACTAATATGTCACTGAGTTGTAAATATATAACTTATGCTTATGAGGTTATCAGTATGATGACGATGAGGCAATTTACACCCCCACCACACGACATTATTAACGTGTTGTGTTGGGGCAGCTGGTGGACTACTTGTTACAACAGACGCCCCCACCGGTGTCAGGAGTGGCGGCGCTGCTGGAGGGGCTGAAGCAGGTGTCGCCGCAGTTGTATGAGCGACTTCTGCGCAAGTGTGGTCCCTACCTCTCCCCCGAGGCCGCCTGCGACCGAGGGGACCACGCCGAGGTCAGTCACCCTCATGTCATCTGATTTGACCGAACCTAACCTAACCTCACCTAACCTAAATTAAGCTATAAACTAAACCATAAACTAAACTGAACTAAACTAATCTGTGTAGCGGAAGTACCACAGGAAATCATATCATGTACAGTCAAGGTCAAAAGCAGCATCAACCCCTAATGAGATGAAACATCATGGTAAGTCAGAATACACCCGTACTTTAAGGCGCTACAGCATCAACCATTTTCTTGAAGAGGGACTCCTACGTCCCACGTGTGCAATCAACCACGAGGAGCGTTGATTACACACCTGGACTTGGCTATTTTAATCACATACACCCAATACTGGGGAGATGAATGTGTCTATGTAACCACTAGAACTCCCGGTCCCAGCGTGTGACTCTTCATTCACTCGGTCTGCACTCAGTTGGCTTACTCCCAGTACTTCATGGACAGGAAGAGAGCGACCGTCAGCCCGCCTACTTAGGCCAGCTCAAGAGTACAACCAGGTGAACCCTGCCCAGCTGAGGGAGGGGTTCTACTTTCCCGTTAGTAAGAGTTTTCACTGACTGGCTGAGGAGATGTGTGGGTGGTTCTTGTGGTGTTGTATGAACCTAGGTGGGGAGAACCAGATCGACCACAACAGAGCTCTGCGGCCAGTCACGGTAGTTTGGTAAATAGGGACACCTGTCTGCACGCCGACCGGGTGGGTATCCAGCCCGTGAGCAGCCAGCTATGTCTTCCAAACCACCATCACCACCAACCTGCTGACGTTATTTTAGGAAAGTCTTCGAGGTAGCAGATAATGACGAAAATTACGATGTTATTTACTTAGGCTTTAGCGTTTGACAGAGTACCGCATCAGAAACTTCTGAGAAAAGTTAAGGCTCATGGTATCGAGGGGAAAGGTTTAAATTGGATAAAATCATGGCTCACCGATAGAACACAAAGGGTCAGCGTAGATGGTGTTAAATCTGCGTGGGGCTGTGTAACCAGTGGGGTTCCCCAGGGGTCAGCAATGGGCCCACTCTTCTTCATAATTTACATACACGATCTAGATACTGGGATCAGCAGTGACATAAGCAAGTTTGCGGATGACATCAAAATAGGGCGGCAGATTAATTCAGGGCAGGATGCAAATGCACTACAGGAGGATTTAAATAAACTGCAGGAATGGTCAGAAAAATGGCAAATGAAATTCAACACCAGCAAGTGCAACTTCCTTAATATTGGAAGAACAAATACTGTCAATGTATACAGCCTTAACAACATCAATCTGGAGAAGTCGACTTGTGAAAGAGACTTGGGGGTACTTGTAAGCCTGGACCTACGGCCTAGAAAACAGTGCGTTAATGTTCGAAATAAGGCAAACAGAGTATTAGGTTTATATCTAAAAGTGTAAGTAATAAGAGTGCGGAGGTCATATTGCAACTATATCTTGCACTGGTCAGGCCGCACCTCGATTGTGCTGTTCAGTTCTGGTGCCCTTATTAAAGAATGGATATCAATTCACTGGAGTCGGTGCAGCGAAGAATGACGAAAATGATTCCAGGACTTAGAAACCTTCCATATCAAGATAGATTAAAGAAATTAAACTTGCATTCCCTAGAAAGACAGAGAGTGCGGGGAGATTTGGAAGAAGTATTTAAGTGGGTGAAAGGAATCAATAAAGGAGATATAGATAAAGTTCTTATAATCTCCGAGCAGGATAGGACTCGAAGCATCGGATTTCAGTTGGATAAGTTTAGGTTTACGAGGGAGATAGGAAGGAACTGGTTCATAAATAGGGTGGTAGACGAGTGGGACAAGCTTAGCAATTTTGTAGTAAGTGCTGGAATGCTGGAAAGTTTTAAGGGGAGGCTAGATAGAATCATGGACGATAGAAAGTGGTTGTAACTCTAGACAGGAGCTGCCATGCACAGGCCAACAGGCCTATTGCAGACTCCTTACTTTCATATGTAACCATCAACCCCCAACCAAGTGGGGTCTCGCTACCCTGCAAAAGGAGTACTTTGTTAACTACTGTTAAATTCTTCTCCGCCCTATCTAAACACTGCACGAGATCGAATAGAGGACTTACAATGCTTGCAACAAGGATGAACACGCGGGAAGGGACAAGGCCACGTGGTCGTTTTCCTTGGCGGAACGCATATACAGACGTCTGTCTGGGTCAGTGACCTTGACTTACTGAGGCTCGGTCAACGCCTGCATCCCTCAGGGCGCTCGCCTGCCCCGCATGACGTCATCTTTCGCCTATTTCTAATACTTTCTTTGGGACACACATAACATATTTAAAACTGGGAAACTATCCACAATAACTTTCAATTTTATAATTGTCCCTTAACTTCATGAATCATGTCTACGTTAATTCGATGAAGTACATTTAAATTTCTATGGGCCTAGTTCAAAATGCGTCCACCTCCTGACTGAGGGCATTGCTTGGAGGATTTGTTTTAACTCGCCACGAGGCATGAGTGTTTCAGCCTGGACTACTTATGTTTCCCTGTTCGGCAGATCGGTCAGTTTTGTTCTAACGTCTCTAAATATCGCATTACAATTTCTGAATATTACTTACAATCGATCCCCCCTAAAAAAAAAGACAGCACTGTCCTCATGTGCTTAAGCCTCTCTCTGTCTATGTAATTCAGTTGCCTCTGAAAATGTCTTGAATAAAGACGAAAGCTAAAGTGTGATTTTATCAATATATATATATATATATATATATATATATATATATATATATATATATATATATATAATGACTATGAAACCTACTGGTCGAGGTTCGATTCTATATATATATTCAAAGTCCGCGTGTTATTTGGACTAAAATGATATATATATATATATATATATATATATATATATATATATGTGTGTGTGTGTGTGTGTCTGTATTGCAGACTATGAAGTGATGAATGTGTGTTGCAGACTATGACAGGTGTTGAGTGTGTGTTGCAGGCTGTGGGGTGTTGCAAACTGTGACAAGTGTTGAGTGTGTGTTGCAAACTGTGACAGATATTGAGTGTGTGTTGCAAACTGTGACAGATATTGAGTGTGTGTTGCAGACTGTGAGATGTTGCAGACTATGGCAGGTGTTGAGTGTGTGTTGCAGACTATGCCAGGTGTTGAGTTGTGTTGCAGGCTGTGAGGTTGCTGCGGGGTGTGGCTGGGTTTACTTGTCGGCCTCAGGACTACGTGGTCAGGTCCTGCTTCGCCAACGATAATGTGGATGTATTGGTCGCTGCCATGGACACCCTCGCCTGCATCGACTGTAGCGTTCAGGTGAGTCTCGTACGTTGCAAACTGTGACAGATATTGAGTGTGTGTTGCAGACTGTGAGATGTTGCAGACTATGGCACTGTGTTGAGTGTGTGTTGCAGACTATGCCAGGTGTTGATGTGCATGCTTGCCAGGTGATGTGAGTGAAAGCACTTGCAGGGGGTGTCGGGACGTGCTGCTGTGAGTCGGTGTGAAGCTTTGGCTGATCGTTTGTCTGGCCTTCAATGGCCTGTAAACGTGGCGGTAACTAGTTGTCCTGCGCTATTACCCTGGAACCTCGCTGCAACTCATGGCAGTGCTATCGACCTGTAATACCCTCCACTACGACACGACTCTACTATTACCACCACTACTATTATTACTACTACTACTACTACTACTTTTTTTTTTAATGGCCTCCAGCCTCCCCCAATAGCCACTTCGCCACCATTTAATTACCTTAATATTAAATATCCTAATACATAGAAGCTATCCTATCTGTGCTAAATTAGTTGAGCCGTAGATCTATGCGCATTCAGTGACAGTAGCCTCGTAGTCAATATCTGCAGTTGTCGGAGTTGGGGCAGAAGCTCTCGTTCCCCTGAGGCAGAGCAAAGCCGACTGAAGGAGAGAGAAAGACAGTCGACATCTCATCCAGGCTGTAACATAACTTCTGGGCTGCTGCTTCTGTTCGGAGATCAACTCCGCGAGTCTGGCGTAGAAACATCTTGCACTTGGGCCCATCCCACCAGAGGTTGTGAACACTAGAGGAGTGAAGCTGCCTTGATCAACGTTTTGAATTCTCTCCCCATATGCCCTTCTCTTGTCGTTCTCATTCCTCCTATGTGCAGCATCGAGAGCTAGGTTACGGTGACTTTCGGCCATGGGATCAAAAATCCTGATGCCGAAGAAAGCTCGCTGTCCCCGCGTCCAGAATCCTCGAGCACTGACGTCCACACGGGCTTCGTTAGATGTGTTTGAAGTCCTGTGTTGGAAGATCACGCCATCCAATGGAAGGAGGGTCGGTTCTACCATGACGTCCCGGCAGATTTCCTTCAACATATTTGCTGTGAGATCTCTTACTTCGTCATGCCTCATGCATATGAAGCCCCCCTTCTTGCACACCATGGCGTGATCGCCATCATAGGAAGAGCCACACACGCATTGGGAGGGCAAACCTTTTACTGGCCGACCGTACCTTAGAGCAATGGCATCTGTAAATTCTTGTTTATTAAGACTGAAACCATTTGCCCTTATCGGTAACGTAGTTAACCAGTTCGAGGCGCCCACATCCTGCGCTATAGCTACTTTTTTTTCAAATTTTCTGGAACCTGCATCAATAGTTGCTGCAACTTATCATTTTGGCAGTGCTGTCGATCTGTCGTAATGGACACTACTACTACCACCACCACCACGTTCAACACCACCACCACTACTACCACCACTATCACTTCCACCCTTCTACCATTAGCACCATCACTGCCACCACTCTCCCTACTACCCACCCAACAGTATACGTTTTCCTTACTTATACACCCACACTTCCAGCAGTTGAACGGAAATATTATACAGTATTTAAGATAGAATAATTGAATATAATCATACACCCGGTAGCCTCAGTCATTCAACTCTGACCGTTCATCCCAGGGCGTGACGGAACTACAGAAGCTGGGTCTGAATAGTCCCTCGGACCCCGAGATCCGCATCGCTGCCTACCGGGGCCTCGTCCACTGTATCCCCGTACAGCCCCAACTACTGAACACCGTCGCCAAGGCTCTCAACTCTGAAGATGTCGACTATTCTCCTCAAGGTAGATGTTGTCTGTGATGTTTGTTAATGTAAGGTGTGCAAGGTGTCACTTGAAGGAAAGATATGCTAGTTATCGACAATGTGTACCGCATGTTATACATTTTTCACTCATGCTTTCTGTTATTGGACGTGAAGTTCGTCAGGACAAAAATTTAACTAGATATTAAACTACCCTAATGCTGACACACCACAAAATGTTCACAATTTATTCAACAGTTGCGTCGTATGTGTGGAGTCACGTGCAGTCCGTGTTGTCATCAGACGACCCCACCCTGATGAACCTGCGTGACTTGCTGACCACCGCCGACATTTCTCAGGTGCCGGACCCGGTGTGGTATGACCCAAGACAACACTCACGACACATGGCCCGCACGGTGCACCTGGACGCCCGCACAGCCCTCACCCTGGCCGGGGACTTAGTGTGGGGCAGGTACTCCCCCGCACCCAGGGCTCTCTACCTCAACCTCGCCCTCCACCACGACGGACACACTCACCAGATGGCGCAGGTGATGACCATCAACAATATTTCACCAAGTTGTGTTTCTATATGAGGTGAGGAGGATGAATAAGATGTCCTCCTCATTCACCCCTTGAGATTGCATTTAAAGATTTTGGGGGACCTTTATCTACTGTTGCTACATGTTTGCACACTAGTGATGATAGGTTGATGTTCATCCATAAGTGGGTGAGTTATTTTGTTACTTATGTAGTGATAAGTTGAGGTTCATGCATAGATGAATAACTCAGGTTGTCGTATCTGGTGCAGGTGGTGGTGCGGGTGACGGGGCTGGAGGCGATGTTGTTGAGTATCCCCGGGGTGGAGCATCTGATGGAGGCCTCCACCGTCGCTGCCGCAAACCTCTGGTCCACCTTGACGCGCCTCGCCCGTCCCTCCCTCAGGAACAAGAGGGAGATCTCCCACGACCAGATCGTTGAGTTCATCCAGCAGGTGAGACCTAGTACCAAGTTAGCTGTAACTCTTTATTGTCCAGTTATTACGTTGAAGATGCAACATACTTCCTGTTGATGGTGCTGTTAACAGGAAATATTCTTGTAATTAATTTTGCTATGTCATTATCAACCCTGACTGAGTAACTGGCTGGTTAACTGACCGAGAGAATTTTCTAAGACTAGCCTCACTGACACAACTTATGGTCAGTACTTGGTTCCCTTTGTCGTTCTCTGACGCTGGTAATGACGGCCGCAGGTCATGTCGAGGATCCCTGTCGGGTACCGTATGGGGTCGTCCAGTCTGGAGGTGTCGCTACGCCTGCTGGGGACCCACGCCCTCCACGTCCGCCTCGCCAACTTCCGCTACTCCTCCCCCTTCAGCGCCCTCGCTGACATGCTCCAGCCGCCTCTCCATGCTGCGGTAAGTACTCTTGCTGCCTTCAGGGATCAGCTCAATTAGTTCAGAAGCATCACATGTGACTGCCTTCTATGTTTAATAGCCCCTAGTCACAACTTTTATTTTCTACTTTTATCCTCTTCGCCACTTGGGCGGTCGGTCACGTCTCTGCTACACACTGTTGGCAAATACCGGGCGTGATCTGGCTCCTGAAGGTATCTGTACCTGTGCCACTATTGGTCAAGTCTTGTCTTAAAGGAGCTCTGACTCGGTGCCGTCACAAACACTCTCTTGCTGATTATTCCAAGAGTTTACAATTCTCATTCTGAAATAGTTTTCTCTCATAATTTCCTGGTCTTGTAGCTTCTTAAACCTTGAACTGTGACCCCTTGTGGGGTTGGCATCAATTAAGTCACCCTTGCCCGTCTATTGTATAAGATAGGCAGTTGCAGGCGTTCTAATCCCTTTGGGTAACTGAGGTGCTGCCGCAGTGCAAGAGACGTGCACACGTCGAGCACCTGGTATGTAGTGTCTCCCTGCCCACAGTTGGCGGTCTTTGCCCCGCTCTTGGACAACACCCTCACCATGGTCACCTCCTCAGGGGTGCCAGTTGCCCTCCGCCTGACTGGCGTCGGGGGCCTCCAGACGCTGGCAAACCACAACACTCGGCAGAACGGCGGCATCTTCAACCTCATGGCCAGGTGAGGCACTACTGCCTAACACTTCAGCTTTCATTCAGGGAAATCACTTGTTCACATACCACGTCTCTCAGTGCGTTCACCCACCTACCCGTAATCTTGAAGCTTTATTGAATTAAAGACCATAACCTTTACAGTTGTCGTATATACAGTGACAGATGTTGTTTATGTCCTCAGCGGCGGAATGTGGGTGGGGGCGCGGCTGGAGGTGGGGCAGCAGCGTGACGCAGCCCTCAACTCCCATCTCCTGTGGTCCTCAGACGTCCCCATCAACGCCGACTACGAGTATGAGGTCAAAGGCCAGACATGACTTAATCCTTCATAGTGCTTAGTGTTATGGTTAAGTTAAGTTAGGTTAGGTTAGGTTAGTACATAAGAGGATATCTTATTAGACAACCTTTTTTCTATTTACTCTTGAGGTCAAAATGGTTGAATCTGTGGCAGCAGAGGGAGGAGTCAGAGGGTGAGGACAGAGGGTGAAAGATGTCATACATACAGATGACTCAGGGAGGATCATGGACAGTGAGAGAGAGGATTGAGAAGTATGATGTGTAGGTTAATGTGGAAAAAACTAAGCTGATGAGAGTATTTACAAGAGGGGGGTGCGGGGGAGTTGTGGGACCTTGATCCATAAGCAGGTCTACAAGTGGCGAAGTTCAGGTACCTGGGAGCTTGGATGAGAAAGAGAGAGAGAGAGAGAGGAGACCATGATGTAGGACCTATACTGATTTATTTATCTCTTATAAGTAATCATGTATCAGTTTCATATACCCATTATTAAAAATCTATCAGAATATATTTGTTTCACACGAAGAAAAGTATATTATGATTTACATATGTGAAATTAATTTAGTTTAACTTTTTGTGTAAATATATGAATACAACACACTGCAACTAAGGGAAGACCTAAGGAAATTTCTGTATATCTAAACTGAACACAAATGACTGTATAGCTAAAAGCGGACATTACACAATTATGTCACTTGTAATGTATTTCAGGACCATAGAGGTAATATAAGACCATAAAGCAGAGAATAATTAACTAGGAACATGTACTGTCTGACCACGTAATTAATGTATGTGTATGTGTGTGTGTCAACAGGGTGAAGCGATCCAGGTGAGCTTCCGTGTCCCTGATGACTGGACGGGTCTACTGTGGCAACGACGACGTGATACTTCCATAGTAGACAACACTCTTCAGCTGAGGTACTCATCTGGCATGCCTGAATAAAGACTTTGCTCAAGGCACCTGCTGCTTCCATCTTCCCGTGTGATTTATCAAGATTCATCTTATCTATATATATTAATATATAAATATATATATATATATATATTATATATATATATATATATATATATATATATATATATATATATATATATATATATATATATATATATATATATATATATATAAAATATATATATATATATAACTCTCTTTCTCTCTCAATCGTACATAACTATAGACCCAGTGCTGCATTCAGGTCTGGCACTAATTTCTGCACATCTTATATATTGTGAAAATCAATGTCATGGAAGAACATCTGAGTCCATAGATAGATTGATAGATAGATAGAAAGATAGATAGATAGAGAGATGGATGGATGGATATTCAGTAAAATCATCATATATAAGTTTACATTGATTCAGACAAAGCACACACGATTATAACTCCTTCACTATCACCAACAGAGTGACTCAAGACTGCCTGGGTTCTGGGGGACCTGTTGAGCTGTGCCTGGAAACCTGCACCAGCGAGAATGAGGCGTTAGGAGGATCTGTCAGAGGCCCCGACGGCTGGCTGGCTCCTTACGCCCACTCCGTCACCTTACATTTACCTCCTGGCGAACCTATCATCATTACTACCTCCAACCCTAACAGTACGTGTCTTATTATCATTATTTCACCAGTTATCAGCATACAGTACTAGCCATTGGACGGGCGGTTGGTCTGTCTGGTGTTGTTAGTACAGGAGGAGACCAGAGTACTGTACTGTACCCGGAGGAAACCTGTGATATTTGGTGGTGATGGTCACACTGGATAACACGGGTTTATGCATTCTATCGAGGGTAATATTGTTACAAACCCTTTTCGCCGCTTACCAGCTTCCATCACTCTTGTCCCACCGGCCAGATCGTAAAGAGAAGCAGTAGATATCTCACAAGTGTCGTCAATTACCACTGGCTGTCCCGCCAGTCTCCAGTAATTTCCCGACGATCGGTATCAGTGTATAGACAAACAACAGGCAGGTAGATTTTCCACCGGGTCACGGAAACACACTTGTGCACTGTAGTCTGCTTTAATGACCACTAAGTCTTCACAATACTGTTCACAGGGTATGTTTTTACCACTGAACTTTTCACTTAGAATATATGCAGTCAGTACACTACCAGTGTGCAATTCTTTTAGTCTTTTCACTTTATATCGCTCACAACATTTCCACAATACTTGCACAACAATTATCTTCCGCCGTTACAAGGCTTATTATACTTCGCACTCTGTGCAGGAACGATCGGCTACTTCTAGGCAACTAGCGGGTATATACAGTGTATGTCTTGTCAGACTTCTACAACATTTTCGCGATATCAAGACGCTGGGGATCGGACCGGGACACGCTTGGAGAGTTCTCGAATGATCTAGGTTTACAATACGTAAGTAAATAACAAAAAATATAAAAATTATGCAATACATTCTATAATATTCGGTATTATTGCTTTTAATTGACTCACAACTTTTGGCTTCTTTTTTTTAATATACTTTTATCCTCTTCGCCACTGATCGGCTTGTTAGCCGCTTGGGCGATCGGTCACGTCTCTTTTCATGTATCTTCTTCACCAAAAGGTCGGCTCGCTAGCCGCCCAGGCGATCGGTCACGTCTCTGTCACGCACTGTTGGCAAATACTGGGCATGCACCGGCTCCTGAATGTACCTGAACCCGCTCCAGTGTTACTCAAGTCTTGTCTTGAAAGAGCTCACACTCGGTGCCGTCGCAACACTCTCTGGTAGATTGTTCCAAGAGTTTACAACCCTCACTCCGAAAAAGTTTGCCCTCACGGTTTTCTGGTCTTGCGGCTTCTTCAATCTTGAGCTGTGACCCCTTGTGGGGCGAACGTCCGCCAGCTCCAAGTAAGGACACTCAACTGAGTAGTGCCCCCTGAGATGCTTATACACCTCAACTAGGTCCCCCCTTGCCCGTCTGTAGTATAAGCTAGGCAAGTTCAGGCGCTCCAATCTCTCAGGGTAGCCGAGGTGCCGAAGTGCAGGCACCAGTCTGGTGGCCCTCCTTTGAACATTTTCAACCAACTGACAGTCCCTCGCATATCTCGGGTACCAGACGGGGTGACAGTACTCCAGATGGGGAAGCACTTCACTCCAGAAGATCGTTACGAGGGACGGACCGTCTAGATATCTGAACGACTTTCTTATGAGACCCAATAATTTATTTGCCTGATTTACCTTCTTCTCACAATGGCCCGAGAACTTCAGCTCATTGTCAACATACACACCTAGGTCCTTCTCACACACAGTCTCAACTAGTGCTGTTTCTTCATCCCGTTGGGACATATGATACGCCTCCTTGCCGTTGGTACGCCCCAGGTGCATCCTCTTACACTTCGTGACATTGAATCTTAGCAGCCATTTCTTCGACCATTCCTGGAGCCCACAGAGATCCTTCTGCAGCTCTTCACAGTCCGCTTTGTTCTTAATTTCCCGAAATAACTTGGCGTTATCGGCAAACATTTGTATGGAGGAGTGTACAACGTCAGGCATGTCATTTATGAAACAAACAAACAACAGCGGGCCCAATACACTGCCCTGTCGTACCCCACGTGTTACAGGTACAGATGACGATTTCGTGCCATTAATCACCACACACTGCTTGCGGTCATGTAGAAAGTCTTCTATCCACGCTAGGACATTTCCCCTAATTCCGTACCCTTCCAGTTTGATTTTCAGCCTTTCATGGGGTACACTGTCGAAAGCCTTGGCAAAATCTCGGCAAATATTGTCGATATTACCATCCCGTTCCAGAATATGGGTCCATATATCCAATACCTTGAGCAATTGTGTTAAGCAAGAGCGCCCCGGCATAAAACCGTGTTGGCAATCTTTTACAAGGTTGTTTCGTATTAGATGTTCCATTGCGGCATCTCTGATAATACTCTCAAGTACTTTACATATTATGCTGGTCAGGCTCACCGGTCTATAGTTGTTCGTGGAGTGACGATCGCCCTTCTTGAAGATAGGACTCACATAAGCCACATATACCTTTCATGTAGTTTAGAAAATTTTAAAACACCTTTCTTCTATGACATTTTTGTCGGAAACAAAGTGGCTGGGGCCACTGGGGTCTGGTTAGGTTAAGTTAGATTTTTCCGGTGGTTTTGATGAGTTTCGAAAGGTTATGACCTTCATTTCCGTCGGAAATCACTCGTTTTGGGGAAGGGTAGACTGGTAGAGGTGACGGTATTTCAGAAACGAGTGATTTCTGACGGAAATTAAGGTCATAATCGTTCGAAACTCATCAAAACCATCGGAAAAACATAATTTGTTGCCCTAGTGGAGTGGGGGCAATTAAAAGCAAATATACTGAAAATTCTTACATATACAAGAAAATCTTCCTAAACGTGCCAATTAGCTCCTGCTTGGAATAGAAAATAATCAAAACACCTATTTCACAAAAATTATAATACTAAATAATGTTTCGGAATAACAATATGTTAATGAATTTTGTTTGTCAGGAAAGATGAGCTTAATCGTAGAATTTGATACTGTTTGGGTTATATTAACGTTTTCTTTATTTGTGTCGGGGAGAGAATGTAAGTCAGTTGTAACGTACACTATTGTAGTCCATCGTAGAGTTTGTATTACCAGGGGAGTTCAGAGATAGATAAGTAGATAGACATTTATTCAGTAAAATCGCCATACAAGTTTACTTTTATTCAACATATATATGGACAATAGGGGCAGGGAAAAACACTTTTATTTGAGTTGCAGGCTGCACTTTTCAGGCATCGTTTGTATGGCTGTAACAAACACCTGTGCAAAATTTCATGCCATTTCATGCATAGTTGCATACTTACCCTGCCGCATCGCGAACGACTTTTGTCAACTTTTAGTGTATACCAAAAATTAGGTGTCATTTAATGTTTTCCAGGATAATGATAAATTTTACATGGGTGACATCGATTTAATTCACATGTTATTTTACAGGTACACCGTATAGAAAATCATTACAAGTTCATATTGAAATTCTTTTTTGTGCGGAACCTTGGCATCATTTTCCTAGACAATAATCTTTGCCTAATATATCCATCTCTCGATTCGTATCCCGTCACTTCAGTGCAAGCTTCAGTCATCACTTTTATGCCTCTCTCGACCGCCTGAGTGCTGTTTGGCCACTTGGGCACCACTAATGGTGTCTCAAGAATGTCATTAACCTGTAGATTTGACAGAGAAGCAATGTAAGGAGGCTCAGTCTTGAGTTCATTCCTCCAGTTAATCATGGAATGATAGTTTTTTGCTTGCCACTTTAGTTTCGGAGTCACCACCTTTCTCATGTTGACTACAGGAGGCACATCCTCATTCCCATCTCCATCTTTACCCTCCTCATCAGTATAGTTTAACAAATTCTCGTCAACAGCAGCATCAGAATCTTCCTCCTCCTCTTCAGATCTGCCAGTGCATTCTTCCTTTTGCTGATTCTCCTCTCTAATTTTTCTTATCATTGAGACAGCTTTTTCTCTAACAGTCATGTCCTCATCTGCACACATACCAAGAAGAAGTTGATCTGTGTGGGCGAAGTATGCATTTCTCTGGACAGCCTTCTTCACTATCGTCTCCTCCTCACTATTCAGGTGTTTCATATATAGCAGGGACTGGAATACGTTCCTTGAGCCGTGTGTTACGTAAGGGTGTATCTTGATGTAAAACCACATTGGAGCACTGAACTTTATTATTGTAATGACAATTCTTTTCAACTCATGGCTGGGTCTTGATGTTGCTACATACAGCCTGAGGATTCTACTCCATAAGGTGTTCCACCTTGACACACAGGGAGGACCTGGCTCAATAGCAGCCAAGTCATCTTCAACAACACCTGTGATAACTCCTTTACAAATCCTATACAGGTATTTCTGATCCCAGGACAGATCTTTCTCCACTTCATCATTAAACACAGGGAAATCAGGGAAACTGACTGGCTGGAAGGCGACAACTGGAAGCTCAGACAAAGACTCCTTGATCTGCTTTCCAATGGGACCACGCCAATGCTCAGGACCACTTGGTTTACCATCATAGTGATAAAAAACTGCGCGGAAAGGCAGCTCATTTCCGTGAAGCTGACATATGAAATAATGGAGCGGGTGACCAAGTAACATTTCAAGATGATGAATGACTCCATTTTCTGATCCTACATTTACATTGGTTCCATCACAACCAACACACACAATGGGCTGCTGGGTTAGATTTTTCTCCACCAGAAACTCGTGAATAGTTTTGGCAATCTGCTTTCCGTGTCCAGTCTTGGGAGTCACATGTGTGAGATATTCATTGCCAGGCTCAACCATGATGACATAATGATCTTTCACCATCATCCTCGAACTCCATTTCTCGGTCTTCTCATTCTTTATCATCACACGAGTGGCGGTCTTCTTACCATCAAAATAGAGTGACGTCAAATTATCTAAACTAGCCATCTCAATTTCTTGCCTCTTAAATCGGTATTTTTGTCTCGCATCCCGCAGCTTATGTGGTCCAATAACCTGACTCTTGTCATCCTTTGTGATAATGCCATAGTCAGTTAAGGTGGCAGTAGCAATGGCAGCTCCAGCATAATCACTAATCAAGTATCGGTCACAAGCGGCAGCCAGTGTAGGGA